CCCGGGGCGGGGTGTGCTACCCTGCTCCCGGAGCAGCAGTTGAGCATCAAAGCCCCGGTTGCGGAGCTTAATCACGGGTTGTGGCCGGTACTCCGGAACAATCTGGGATATATTAGTCTATTTGGAACAAATCGTCGGGGATCAAACATACAGGCTCATCCTTTGGTGGCAGAGGAAGCTTAGTGAGAGTTTTGACGGCCTTTCCTCTGCTAGAAGCGGGAATCCCTGCCCGGTTGCACTTGAAGTAGTCAATCAGCGTGGACCTAGGCCGAAGACCCTCATACCCCGAGGTCGCAAAGTTGCTAGCAGTCAAGGAGCTAAGCCTCCGTGCAAACTCGTCTGGCGTTACTTGAGGTCCTGTCGAGTACGTTCTGCCTAAAGCTGCCGTTCGACTAGCCGAGGGCGAGAGCAACTCCGGAGAACCCATAGGATGGTCCTCGGAACGAGCATTTTCATTTTGTTGCAATGGTGATCTTGCGATAGGACTTCGGCCGAGAGGATAGTCTTCCTCCAAATCCTCCGGTTGGGTCCTTGAACGCTTCGTGTCTGAGCCGCGGCTTGACTGTGGCAACTTCATGGGTATAGCGTTGACGACACTCCGCTTCCGCTTCCTCGGGCCATCTTCGCTACCAAAAGGAGAAAGCACACTGCTGTTGTGATTCGAAGTCGGTGATATCGGTTCGTTGAAGCGGGGGCTGGATCGTGGAGGTGTCGGTTGAACGTTGAGTGCAGGACTGCGTAGCTCGCCAAGGGCTGGTCTTTCCCGAGATATCTGTGAGGGCATCCCGCGAGGGGTGAAGAAACGACGAAACTTCCGGGGAGTCAGGATAGACTTCTTCTTTTCCTTTCGAGACATCCGTGATGGCGGAGAGGAAGGGAGGGTGGGAGAGGATGCCGGAACGAGGCCATCGCTCGGTGGCGGACTGGCCATGCCGCCGTGATAGACCATGACGCTGGGGGTAGTGGTGGTGGTGACGATGACGATTCGGCTCCAGACTCAATGGCTACCTAATAGTATAAAAGAAACAGACGACAGACAGAAACGTCTTTGAGAACAGAGAAAGAGAGCGTGTGGTCCGGCAGGCGGGGTGGTGATGGCCGAGTTTGAGCAGTCAAGGTTGAAGCAAGGTATCTAGTTGTGGTAGGTAGGTAAAGCTCTTGACGTCTTACTTGCCCGATCGAGACTCCCTCTTGACCCTAGCGCAGCTCTCTACGCGACAACGTCGCGGTGCGCGCGTGGTGAACGCGGAGACCCACCTGAGGATGTTTAATGGAATTGGCATTCCATCCGATGAACCGAGCGCGGGACACCCCACATTGCCATGCGCTAGTGATATCTCCACGTGATTCTTATCGCTCCCCTGCAGCTCCGCTAAAAAAATTCTGAGAGAAGGGACGTTGCGAAAGTCGAGGCGGCGGGGCGGGTCCGAAATTCGATAATCCTGCAGAGAAGGACGCCCTTTGGCTGCAGAAGAGCTTACCAACTCTCGCAAAGACTACCCCGTGCATCTCGACTTGGCCTCGCCTTCCAGACAAGATGGCGATCCAGAAGAAGCACGGAAAAGGACGTTTGGATAAGTGGTACAAGCTTGCCAAGGAGAAGGGATACCGCGCCAGAGCAGCGTTCAAGCTGATCCAGCTGAACAAGAAATATGGCTTCTTAGAGAAGAGCAAGGTCGTCGTCGATCTTTGCGCTGCGCCCGGTGTAAGCTCCTTCACGTCAATGATAACCCAATCGCAAAGATTTTCTTGCTAACATTTTACAGTCATGGTGTCAAGTTGCAGCGGAAACGTGCCCCGTCGGCGCCCTGATTGTCGGTGTCGATCTGTCGCCCATCAAGCCAATTCCCAAGGTCATCACCTTCCAAAGCGATATTACGACCGAGAAATGTCGAGCCACGATCCGATCGCATCTCAAGACATGGAAGGCAGACTGTGTTCTCCACGATGGTGCGCCCAACGTCGGTACTGCGTGGAACCAGGATTCGTTCAACCAGGCCGAGCTGGTGCTGCAGTCGATGAAGCTTGCGACGGAATTTTTGGCTGAGGGCGGTACCTTTGTCACCAAGGTCTTCCGATCCAAGGACTACAACCCCCTGCTGTGGGTCTTCAACCAGCTTTTCGCAAAGGTCGAGGCGACCAAGCCCCCTTCCTCGAGAAACGTGTCTGCCGAAATCTTCGTCGTCTGCAAGGGCTTCAAGGCCCCGAAGCGCATCGATCCCCGATTCCTCGACCCCCGTGCCGTCTTCGCCGAGCTCAAGGACGCGACCCCGAACAACGAGGCCAAGGTGTACAACCCGGAGCAGAAGAAGCGCAAGCGTGAGGGTTACGAGGAGGGTGATTACACACAGCACAAGGTTGTCTCCGCGAGCGAATTCATCCAAACCGCTGACCCCATTGCAATTCTCGGTCAAACCAACCAGTTGTCTTTTGACCAGCCGGCAAACGGAGACGTGGCGCTCGCCGCGCTGGACAAGCTTCCTGAAACGACAGACGAGATCCGCAGGAGTTGCGCAGACTTGAAGGTCCTCGGAAGAAAAGAGTTCAAGCAATTGTTGAAATGGCGTCTCAAGGTAAGGGAAATTTTTGGTTTCCCAACCAAGAAGACGACGCAGGAGAAGAAGTCCCTGCAAGATCAGGTGGGCGAGGAGGTCGCAGAGATCGAGTCCATGGACGAGGAGCTGCGGATTCAACAGGAGCTGGAGGCGCTCAAGAACAAGGACGACTCCAAGAAGAAGAAGGAGAGGAGGAAGGAGAACGAGAAGAAGCAGAAGGACATTGTGCGCATGCAGATGAACATGACGGCGCCAATGGACATTGGTATGGAGCAAACCGGACCCCTCGGCCCGGACGCCATGTTTGCATTGAAGACAGCCGACAAGGCCGGCGGCATCAACAAGATCGCCCGCGGCAAGATGGCGCTTCTCAAGGAGAGTGAGAAGAAGTCCAAGGAGGCCGAAGCCGGGATCGTGTATTCTGACTCCGAGAGCGACCCAGAGGAGGACCGCCTCGAGCGCGAGCTGGACGGCATGTACGACAACTTCAAGGAGCGCAAGGCGGCGGCCGATGCCAAGTGGCGCGCCAAGCGAGCTCGCGAAGAGCACGAGGACGGCGAATGGGAGGGTGTTTCGGGCGGCGAACAGAGCGACAGCGATGAGGACATGGAAATGGACTCTGACAGCTCCGATGATGACGAGGACGAAGACGACGATGCGAGCGGAAAGCCCCTGGTGACCGACCTGGACAGCACAGCCGAGAGCGGCAACTTATCGAAGCGCGCATCGGCTTTCTTCGGGCAAGATATCTTCAAGGATATCGATATGGGAGATGTTGACGACGAGGACTGGGGCGTCGACAACAAGCCTGCTGAAGAGGAGCCAAAACCGAAGAAGGCCAAGACAGAAAAGGAGGACAAGAAGAAGGCAAAGGAAGGAAAGGCCAAGGCAGCTGAGGAAAAGCAGAAGGCTAAGGACGAGAAGAAGAAGAAGGCCAAGGAGGCGAAGCAGAAGGCTTCCGACGGCTTCGGCTCAGATTCCGAGAGCGAAGACGATGCCGGCTTTGAGGTCGTCAAGCACCAAGAGGAAGACTGGGAGAACCAGGAGAAGAGACGGCCGGACGGCAGACTCGGTAAGTCCAGCTACCTACCTCTGGACCTCTTGTCCAATCCATCGTGGAGAGAAGAACAATTTGTACTGACAAGTCACCAGACATCGACATCATCACAGCCGAGGCCATGACGCTCGCCCACCAGCTCGCGACGGGCGAAAAGACCAAACAGGACCTCATGGACGACGGCTTCAACAAGTGGGCCCTCAAGGACCGCGACGGCCTTCCGGACTGGTTCATCGACGACGAGTCGAAGCACGACAAGCAGCAGAAGCCCATCACCAAAGCCGCGGCGGCGGCCATCCGCGAGAAGCTGCGCGCCTACAACGCGCGGCCCATCAAAAAGGTGCGCGAGGCCAAGGCGCGCAAGAAGTTCAAGACGGCGCAGCGCCTCGAGAAGCTCAAGAAGAAGTCGGACTCGCTTGCCAACGAGGAGGGCATGACGGAGAAGGAAAAGGCCGAGAGCATCGCCAAGCTCATGGCCAAGGCGGGCAAGGTCAAGAGGAGACCCAAGCCTACTCTTATTATCGCCAGGGGTGAGTTTTTTTCCCCCTTTCTCTATCAAAAGTATCGTACATGTTCTTCCATTTGCTAACCACACGTATAGGTGCCAATCGTGGTATCCAGGGTCGTCCCAAGGGCGTCAAGGGTCGGTACACGATTGTGGATTCACGAATGAAGAAGGACCTGAGGGCGCAAAAGAGACTAGCCAAGAAGAAGAAATAGACGTTAATGTCGGTAGATTGCCGACCTCATCATCCCGGGATGATGTTCCAATTATGTTTGTCAAAACAAAGCATGGCTGGGAAATCAGGCGCATTAATGTGTTAATGGAAAAAAAGCTCACGGCGGATCTGCGTATGTGTGTAAAAAGTCTTGGCATGGATGTGCATCATCGTGTGTCTTTTTTGTGCATTATCGTATCGTTAGGTAGAAAGAAGTCGTTAAACGGGGGAAAAAAAAGATTTGAGATCACCATGGCTAAATGACGTTACCCCCCGACCGCCATTGTACGCGCGCCTCTATCCAAAGGAGGAAGGGAATCATGAGAATATGCCGCCGCCGGAAAAAAGCAAAACAAAAGTCTGGTACCGAGCACCACATGCTGCATATCTTACAGCAGCTTGAATGAGATCTTGACAAGTGAGGCGGAAGGATGCGAACGCCGTCCTCTTCTTTCTCCCAGAAACCGTTTGCTCTCTCGCCTCTCGACATCGTACAGCTCTTCCTGCGCCTGCATGTGTATTCGTACCGCAATTTGTAGAACCGAAGGGGGAAGGAAAAAAACGCCGAATGCTGTCCTGCGAAATGCAAAATGCCTCCTCTTCTTTTGCCACCACCGCCGCCGCCACTGCCGCCGCCATTATAAGCGTGGCATGACTTCGGCCTGGATTCTAGTCGTCCTCCTGCTTGATCCTCACTTCCTGGTCCTGGTCCTGGTCCGGTGCCCGTGGCCCCAACATCCAATCTTGCATGGCGAGCCACTCACTCCATTGGGTTTCCGCACTCTGGATTTCCTTTTCGGTGACATTAGATAAAGGTCGGAGGAAGGGAACTTGCTGCTCGCCATCCATGTCGTAGTGCGACTTCACCTTGAGCCAAGTGTCGCTCTTGGCGGCAAACATGTAGTTGCGGCGCTCAGCTTCGTGCATTGGGCCGATGCCGCCGAGCCAATCGTCACCGAAGAAGCCGTATAACACGGCGGGATAATCGAAACCGGTCACCACCAAGCGCCGAATGTACGGCGTCAGCGTTGCATGCGTAGAAGACGGCAATTGGGCGTTCATTGGCATCTTGCCGGCGGCTCGAGCCGTGGACGGGGTCGAGGGCCCGGGCCCGGCGGGGGAGTTGGGACCGGTGTGTTTGGAGGACAATACCGGGTTGTGGGCCTTTTGAAACGGGAGTTGAATGTTGACAAAGGCTGCCACAGCCTGAATGGGCCCGGTGTACTGGGCATGATCCAAGAAATAACGGAGGCATGATTGGAACTTTGGATACCATTCAAAGATGTCGAATTGGGACTGTTGGAACGGCTGAAAAGGGGGCCCATTGAGCGGAGGAGCACTTTGGTGACCGGTGAAGGCATGGCCTACCTGTGCATACTCAAAGCCCGAGGCTGCGGATGAGCCGCTCGAGTGGTGGTATGCCATGAGTCCTCAACAGGAGGACGAAAGGCTGCTGCGGGAGCAGGTGCCTTATCCGGAATTAGCCCTCGTCGTCGGCGATGACGGCAAATTGGGTGCTGGCGGCCGCGTTCTGGCGGTATCAGACGCTGATAGAACCAGAGAGCGGCAGGCGGTAGCCGGAGAAAAGGGACGGCAACGACTGTTGCGCGACGGGAAGAGGGCGGAGAGGGCGAGTAAGAGAGCTTCAGATGGAAAGAACAACAGAGCAGCCGGACGATGCAACCTCGTACGTGATTGTGTCTAATAACACGGCGTCCGACGAGGTTGCAAGATTTGGTTGCGATGTTGTGTCTTCTGTGTCTTCTGTGTCTTCTGTCTCAGGGTCGACTCGGAGGTTGGCAGAGAATTTGAAAGAAGGTCGGTCGGAGGCACAGATCTGACGCTGATCAGGCAAGGAAGACATGCGGGACGGGGAGGAGAGGGAGGAGCAGGACCACATGCGGAGCCAGACCTGCATGGAGATGGAGTCGGAGAAGCAATGACAGCACCCAACGGAATAAGGGTTCTCGGTCCAGGGCTTGTCAGAGCACGGGATATGACGAGCGAAAGAACGTCGACGATGGAACATGGGACGGGACGCCGGCCGACTTTAATATACTCTGGACAGTGTGCAAGAAGTTTGCCTGTATCCGTACGAGGGGAGGGGTGGAGGGGAGGAGAGGAAAAAATTATGTACGGGTGAGTGAAATGGTCCCTTGTTTTTCTTTCCCTTGCCTTGCCTTTCTCTTTTTAAGGTGGTGCTTGAGGTTGAGGAAAATGGACGGGGCGCCCACCCCGTAGAATAAGGTACATGATAGGAAAGGAAGGGTAGCAGAGAGAGAAAGGGAAAAGGGACAAAAAAAAAAAGTATGGCGACGAAGCGGAATGAGGTGGTCGGAGGGTAAGGTACATGCTAGGTGCAGCAGGGGCAGAGCCGAGGAGAGGGTACCTACATCAAAATGTGACATGGCTACCTACCGCAACTTGGGTCGAGATCGCGTCTGCACCCACGGCACACCAATCCGGTGAAGCAGGAGAGGAGGAGGAGGAGCAAAAGGCACACACACACATACATACATACATGCATACAAGGGGGGAAAGAGGAGGGACGGGGCGGAAACAAGCAAAAGGCGGCGGTGGTCGTTGTGGTCGTTATGTGTGTTCGGTCCGGGCATGGCATGTACCTCTACCTGTTTGTCTACTTGCCCATCCACCGCCCACTCGGGCCTATGGGTATTATGGGTGCGTGATCCGGGAGAATCTTGAGCGTGTAGATAGAAACGTGTGAGGTCAACCGCCTCAGGTAGGACGGAATGAAAATAGGTAGGCGGGATGACAGCCCAGAACAGGAGAAGAAGAAAGTACCTGCGAATTGGTAGGAAGGTAGGCACGGTAGCCCGGTAGTTAGGCAATCCGGTAGGTTTGGGGATAGGTAGCGCGTTGCCATCCCGTTGATAGCGTAGCTAGATAAGTGGGAATGGGGCTAGGAAGTCGATTAGTGTGTGAGAGGCGTGTGATGTTGGTTGGCGCGGCGCAGGCGCAGGCGCAGGCACAAGCACCGGTATGGCTTCGTGTGGTGTTGGTGGTGGTTGTTGTCGCCATGGTTGTGGTGTAGTTGCATCTGCATACATCTCACCTCCAGGAACCTCCAGGAACTTCCTTCATTGTGTGCGCAATGGAATGTTTCGCCAGGGAGGTGTGGGAGCACCGACCAGAACACTGGATGAGGGGGGAGACGGAGAGGCGGGACGAGCCCGGAGGCGTTTGGGTAAGGTATTTGTGGGGTGATTGGCCCGTGTCGACCCTTTTCAGGGTCTGCTCTGCCCTTCTGCGCCTGCGTGAGCGTCTGCCTCTGCGTCTCCGTGACAGTGTGGAAATAGTGTTTGCGCCGGCTTGTCCGTCGTCCTCGCCGCCGTCGGAAGAGAAGGGTGGCACGGATGATGGCGAGTGGAGATGCTGGGTGGTATCCGTACATTGGTAAAGGCGGCTGGCGGAAGGAAATGGGGCCTTCCATCTCATTCTCGGCCACCAACCTAACTCTGTTCAAACTCATTAGTGGCAGAATGGAAGAATGAGAGACAAGACTTACGAAACATGACTGAACGAGAGATCATAGACAAGATGGCAGGGAATTCCGATCGAGGGGCGGGAAACCATCAATATCGACAAATGTCTTCCACAGTGGTCTCACACAATGAGTGTTCGCACTTGTATCCGTAGAATAAGAAGCTGGGGAATGATCGCTGGGGCATCTTGGTAAAGTATTGCGAGGAAACGGGCACAGGTTTATCGAAATTGGGTAACTGTATCCGTACCCGTACAGTTCTCAACCCAAGCAACCCCGGGCGGAAATGATGGATCATGGTAACCCCCAGCCATGGATATTACTGATTGTGTGGATACTCCGAACCGAAATTCCCATTATTTTGTTATGAATCCCATGCCGGATCTGCGATGATCTAGGTAGTCAGTAACTGCAACTTTCCTCGAACAAAGAGACAACGCTTACTTGAACTTAGTCGTCGGCGATACGAAGACGCAGGAGGGTTGTGAGGAAGTAGACGCAGAGCAGGGGTGCCAAGGCTAAGCACTTCAGCCGGAGTTGAAGCCGGGAAAGACATCATTGGACGAAGCGTTCCATGAGGCGGTATGAGATGAAGGGTGGGATCCCTGGCGGTTGCCAGTAGGGCGCATCTGTTAGCTGAAGCCTAGGTAGCAGTAAAGACGCTTGGTCGAAAAGACGAGGAAGAAAACACTGGATGCATACCTGTTGCTAGCCTTCCCTTGATTTAGGTTAACCCAAGGTAGGTAACTTGGACAGGTCAGGTTTTTCCTCAGGTATCTTAGATTGAGGTAATCGACGTCAGGAAGGGGCGTGAAATGAGAGAAGGTGCCGACTTTGTCCACCTTTCTTACCTACCTACCTTATGTGTCTGCCTACCGATACTACGTACCGTACCTAGTGAAGTGCGTAGGTACCTTCGAGCAACATCTTCCCCATGTTGGACCAGCAAGCCCGGGCCACCCATACAATTCTAGTACGTACCTCATCTAGCCCTAAGGTAGGTATACGTACCCATGAACCAGCTGCGCAAGGTTCCAGACGTCCACCTGCCTTCCATCCAACCTTGAAAATGACCAAACACATTCCAACTGCACACTTTGTCCCATACGCCATGGCAATTTCTGCCTCTCGCACGAACACGGGACTCCCGTACCCGAAGCCAAGGTAGAGGGCTCGTTTGTCCGGAGAGACATCTATTGGCTCTCCCATCTCCGCTGTCCGATTGCCTGAGTCTTGACGTAGATGCAGGTTCAGATCTCAGGTACCGCGGAATTCCTGCCATCCTAGTGTTGGACGTCTGTGTCTTACACGACAGTGGAACAAGATCACGAACAAACGGGAACCACACACCACCTCCATCCATGAACCAGCCCGGAATCTGAGCATTGAGATGAAGAGCGCGGCCGTCTGCCAGCTCAATCCCCTCACTCCCAACCGTGGCCTTCTCAACTTCTCTGCACTTCACCCCTAGCCCCTGCCTGCCACCTGGACGACTGCAAAGAAAAGGAAAGAAAAAGAAAAGAAGAAATCTGAAGAACAATCGAGACACGAGTCCACCAGTCAATCGTCGGTCATACGCATTTCCCCCACCCCTTTCTCGCCTCTTCCATCCGACTCCGATATCATGACTGGATCTTGCCTGGCTTGGCTACCACCTCGAGCAGGGTAGGCAATCCCCTTGTTGTCTCCGAGAGCCTGCCTATGCGCATTAGCGAGCTTGAAGCGCCAAACGATCTTTGGTCGTTTCCGCCTTGGATTCTATTAGCCCTCTCTCTTCTCATTAAAACCGTCTTCACCTCGGTCGAAAGGCTGCAATCACGCATCCAAGCATCCGAGCCTCGAGATAGCCGAAGGAATTTTCCAGACGCACGGCGCAAGGTCCTTTCGCCGATTCGAGCCTTCTTCGTGTCCCACGCTCATTGTGTTTGCCATCCCCCGGCCAATCCAGTCTTATATTCGTCAACTATTTCGCTTCCGTAGTTATCCGTATTCTCTCGAGAGACTTGATTGTCGAGGGTGCGACAAGCCGACTAGACTCTGGGGGAAACACTACACGCCAGTGGTCGGCTAGTAAGACTAATCGATGGGCGCCGAAGAATAAGCAAGCAAACGGCCAGGCTAAGACGATGTCACTGGTGCAAGCCAACGAAGCCACCAGTCCTGGCTGCGTCTCACGCCAGGGCACTTTGGGGAACATCACCGCCGCAGGCGACTACTCAATGACGATGTCTTTCAGCTGCCCTTGCACCACTGAAAAAGTGACGAACGAAGCAGCCCATGGGAGCAGAGCCAGACCAATATCAATTCACAACCATGAAGGCGCTCTCACTCCAGGTGATCTGGACAACCATGGGCGCGGCATCAAAGCTCCGGTTAGCCGGCCCCATTGCTCAGCTGCCTAAGTATTTTAGCGGATCATGCAACAACCCGGATCAGGCGCGTCCGGTCGAGTCCGCTGAGGCATGCAAGACTCTTCTCCAAGCGCCCAACGAACCGCAGATTTCGTTGCATCTTCCGGTCGAGTGCAGGCGTGGGGAACGCATCTAAGCCAAGACCCATTACATAAGGCGTAACGGCTTGGGTACACCAAACCAGATACGTTCTTTCGACCCTCACGCGCCGACGTTTCGATGTTGTCAGTACCGATTGCACATATAGATATTCCTTCCATGTATCACCAATACACCAACTTGCGAGGTCTGCAGTTCCACATGGAGTCGCGTTGTCCATTTGTTTTCGGGCCTTGTCCTACACAAAGGTTACTTACTCAAGCAATGGCCGCTATATCGACGGGTTGCGTTCGCAAGTCATCGTGACCCCGCCGATCTAGCAGAATTCTCCCACAAGATCGTGTTGCACAACATGGCTTCTTGCTGTATCTCGGACCAGAAACGCGTACATCGGTCTCTTACGTCGACGAGAACATCAGTTTGGACTGCGGACGAAGCCGTGAGCGACAGACGTGCGTGGTGGCAGGGATTCAACCCCTGCTCCGGCCGAGAAGTGAATGAACGGGGCCAACCTGATTCTCGGCCTCAAGCCGCTACCTAAATGTCTCTTGCTTGTATCCGTACAGTAGGTAACGCTGAGCCAAGGGCTCTTTGATCTGTCTGATTCGGTGCGTCCTCATGCTGCTATAGACATTCGGAACAGAAGTACAGAAGCTCATTGGAGTAAGCAGGAAGCTGGACGAACTAGTGGCTCGGTCGACCGAGACATTGTCAACTTGTCTGTCTCTGAAAGATCATCCCCAAGTTGATCTCCCGTCTGGCCATCTGCCCGGTCCCAATATTCGATTCGTCTTCTCTGGCAGATCTGGTTCGACCGACTAGGGCTCGGAGCATCCCCTTGGCCTACCAACCAACGTATCCCCGAGCCAACCCATACTCCCCTACCACACGTCCTTGTTCCGTCTCGCAGTCAGAGTCCAGCTCCAAAATGTACACGCGCGCCCCAACGAGACCCGATTCCAAATACATTAGCCTCCCTCAACTCCAGTCATCCATCAAGTTTTTCCCAGAATGAGCAGGCTGTCATGCCACCCTCACCTGGGGACAGCCGCAGTTACTCTTCGGACCACTCATCGAAAACGGTTAGCATTATGAGAGCCCTACATGCGTGCTACCAAATACAATTGGGTTCGGCTATCGACGACGCGATATTAGCGATGCAAACTCCAAGGCGAGCCGAGTTTGCTGCCTTCAGGTCCTAACACCTTGCCTTCAGAGTACCTAGTGGCCCTGTTGGCCTTAGCGATGGTTCCCGATTTAATTCTCCGACCCCAACTAGCAACGCTTGGTCATTCGTGGCCCATGCCTAGCAAAAGTTCGCCGGCATCAGCTCTCGCCCGTCATATGTGATACTGCCCGACTGGTAGGGGCGGCCAGTGCCACCTCTCCACGTCCTGCACCTTGACAAATATACCTAGATGGGTAGATGGATGTAAAGGACAGCCACCGCACCAGTCGTCTGAGACAACATACTCTTTGATATCCACCGATAAGCATGGCGCTACGAGTCAGAGCAGCTTAGCATCACGGGAACGATCTACAGGGGCATCAGACAGCCGCCTTGCAGATTCCACATTATGCTCTACCATGGCTCTGGTCCCTGTGCCCCTCGAAGAGCACCCGGCGTTGCGCCATCATTGTGGCATGTACTCCGTAGCGATTCCAAAGCTGCAAAGACTAGTGGAATTTGTCGTCATACAGTGGGCAGAACTTTGAAAAAGCATCTACGTCAAGATTCCGCTTTCGCCAAGAAGGATACTGATAGACGCCTCGATCGATGCGTCAATCTTGCTTTGGTCTGCTAAAGACGTCCCTCTAAGCTCTCGGCCCAGTACATCGGTTTGACTGCCATTCTCACTGCCAACCACCCATCCTACCACCATACCTGAACATCCAGCCTCTTGAGCAACCAGATACAATACATCTAGATCGGGAACGCAGTTCTGGCAGACCCCCCGTCGAGCAAGAGACATGCAGCTAGCCGGCTGGATGTGCTCGGAATATGCAGTCGATGCCGCCAACCCTCATGTACGATCGGCCACCAGCCCTCACCGACTTCCCTTACTTAGTTGCCAACCCTGGCTATCAGCTAGCGGCCTTTTAGTGGTGCGACATGCAAAGCACAGAACGGCGGCGCCTATTGAGATCTCGGGGTCCCGGATCTGGCCACAGCATCGTTCCAGTCAGACGGTAGCTTTTCAGGGTCTGCATGTACTACATCATCAACTTTCATGTGGTGGGCAACAAAGATTAGCTCGAAGATGCGCAGCATGTGTGCTATGCTCTGTCGGAAGTAGCGGCCGATACCAAATGGTCCAGTGCATTCGATGCGGCTTGACATTCCGACATCCCCAATTCGCGAGAAGCCGAGTTCAAGGCCTCGCATAGCTTCTGATCGAATATGTACGGCATAGATTCAGTGCTAATGTCACGAATAGCACTCTTCTACCTTTGGCGTGCCGGCCAGGGATCCTGGTTGGCCTGTATATTGGTGAGTTGGCCACCATTCTTAGCCCCTGCT